TATATATATATTTGAAACAAGTTGAACATGTTTACAAAAAATTCTTCACACTATGGAGATCATAGTTGTATTTTAAACACTATACAGTTTTTTATTTTTGCCAAAAGTCCTCGTAGTTGCTTTAGAATTCAATTGACAAGCTGAACTATTTTTATTGCAATAGTATCTGTGTATAATTCACTTACGCTGTTGTGTGAGTTACCACAGTTGTATCTTGAACTTCCAATAATCATCTGCCTTTTTTCAAAGTCCACACAGGTGGGTTTAATTAGTTTAGAACACCATTTGATGAGATAGATTATTTTCCTTATCTCTTTAAAACTGTTAATCTCACTCTAACATATCAACCTCTAGGCCATTCACTCCCACGATGGTTAACTTTACATTTTTTGACTTTTCTCTGACCAAACTTCTCTTTCACATGACTTTACTTTTTTCTCTGTTTCCGCTTGTCGGGTTGCAGCTCTTTATACGTCTATCACTTAGAGCTTCTAGAAATCTCCATAGCCTCCACATCAATGAATTACAAACACAAAATAAATAAATTAATAATACTACATACACTAAACAGTTATTTATATCTGACAATGAGCTGGAATTGCCCACCAACAATCTTCTATTTCTTCATTAGTCTCATGTTTGTTCCAATCTCACTCCTCTACATCTTTCCCCCAACCTCACCCACCCTTCCTTTTCACTCAGTTATCCTGACCTTCCACCCAATGTCCCTCCTGCCAGTGATCATCCAGTTGGTTCAGGCCCAGTAGGAGCCTATCTGTCCCAGCTTGCTCACTTGTTGGCTCATTTTGTTGCAGACAGATGGTCTAACCCTTCAATTTTTTTCCCTCTTTTTTTCTCCCAACTCCTAATCTTCCATCACTCCTCAGATCCAACCTACCTCTAACATTTGGATGGGACAGTTTCATACATGTTGTAGAAGCAAACTATAGAGCGAGTTCAATACTCTTCTCCAGGTTATTATTCTTGCATCTTTGTTGTCCCCAAAAAAGACTGGAGACTGGTGCCTGATCATCAATCTCTTCACCATCAATTGTTTTTTGGTTAAGGAATTTCTTTTCTCTCTACTGGTCTTTACAACCAGGCCTATGGAGGACTAAGATAGATGTGTTGGATGCAGTTCTCCATGGTCTGATAGCCCCTGCCTGATAAAAATTACCTTAGGTTTGTTCATGGGGAACATGTCTATCAGCTCTGTACTCTTCCATTCACATTTCATTAGCCTCATTTATTTTCAGTCGCATTATGCAGGCTTTTGGTCATCATCTATGCTTTTTGTGACTATGGTTCCACTTCTATATGGATGACTGACTTCTCCTCTCCCATAACCAGGAGGAATCTTCAGATCAAATCTTCATTCTTCGTCACAAGGCTGATTGCTAGGGATGTTGTAAAAGATTTCCAATTCATTCCTAACCCCATTCCAATATCTTATTCACCTTGGGGTGCTATTTAATTCTAACATCAGTCATCCCAACCTTTTTCTCTCTTGTTACAAAACATCAAGAATCTAGTTGCCAAAGTCTGTGCCTCTCCTTCTCCATATGTGTGTGGGAGGTTCTGTCTTCTTTTGGGGATTATGGCTTCTCTGGAACCTCTCATTCCATTTGATCATTCTCATATATGCCCCCTACAGTGGGCCCTATGCAACCAGTAGAACCTGTCCAAGGATCCACTGTCTTCATAGGTCCTCCTTCTTTTCTATCTCCTGAAGGATCTAATCTGGTAGTTGGACTGCTTGAACACCACCAGTGGCATTTCCCTGTCTTCTCCCAAACCTGACCTACACCTATTCCCTGACTCATCTCTCTTTGGGTGGGGGCATCTCTGAATGACTCGCTCACTTCTGACACTTGGATCTCAGAAGAGAGTTCTCTCCATGTCAACATTTTGGAACTACTTGATGTTTATAGCACTTCCTCCCATTTTCTCCCCATTTGATAATTTAGTCCTGATACACTCAGACAATTTCATAGTAGTGTCTCACATAAACTGTCAAAGGGCACCCATTCCTGAAACTGATTGCCTGCTATGTCTCATGTCCATCATTGTGGATCATCTTTTATGGTGGGATCATGTCTTACCCATGGAATGTCCCTTTTCCCTCAAATATATGTGTTTGCCTCATCTCTCAATTGCAAACTGCCCTTATTCTGGTCTCTTATTCCTCACCAAGATCCCTGATTGTAGATGCTCTCAGTCAGGACTTGTGTCATCTCTTTATCTATGCCTATTCTCCTCTCCACCTTTTCTAGCTCTGATTCAGGACATTCAATGCTGTGTTCTGTTGTTTGCTCCCTACTGATCCATCCAACCTTGGTTTCCTCTTCTACATCTCCTCTTAACCAACCCCTCTCTTCCACTTCCTCCTTTCTTGTACAACCTTGCACATCTCTTTTTCCATTATGGCGTGTCATCCCCTTCTTTTCCTCCCACTCCCATCATGTTTTCACCGCTTTAGTGTACTAACGATAAAAGGAGGGCTTATCGTTGTTGGTCTCCCCTCCATTATTTCCTTCCTGGCTGGCCTACCTTACATCACCTTACCTCTTTCTTTATTTGGCTGTTTGACTGCAACTTTTCTGTTTCTACTATTGCAGAGTATCAGGCTGCTCTGTCTACTATATTCTGCCTTTCCTGATTTTGCAATGCTTTTTTTCCTGCTCTGTCCTTACCACTCCCTTCCACTCTTTCCTCCTGCACAAATCCTCTATTTCCACTTCATTTCCCAACTGGGACTTCAATGTTATTCTTCATGCCATCACTCTTGACTCTTTTGAATCACTTGCCACTTGCTCTCTATATCACCTTTCTCTCAAACTTATTTCTGTCTCTGGTTTGTATATGGTTTTTCATCCTTCTGACATCTATGTCATCGATTCCTCCTGAACTCTTTTCCATCACTCCTGAACTCTTTTCCATCACTTGTATGTTCTTCTTTATTCTGAATATTTTTTCTTGCCTAAAACTGAGGCACACATTTTCTCCCATTTCCTTTTCCTCTGTCTCCCATATCTATGGACGTTCTGACCCAGAAAGACTCTGTTTGGCCTGTTTGTTGTTATCTCTCCCGTACTTCCTCTTTTAGGGGTTCCCGACACCATATTTTTATTCCTTTGGACACTTCCTCTACTAGAGGAGACATTTCTCCTTCCACCCTTACTGGATGGACCTTCCAACTCATACAGGTTGTTTACTCTTCTTTGGGATGAATAGTAGACTATTTTGAGTTCCTCTTACCAGACTTGTCACCTGATGCATTCTTTGGCAGCTTGCTATCATTCTCTGGGTTGGCATGTGGACAACCCCACACATGTTCATTGCCCACTATCTTTACCATCTGGTTGTCTCATTTTCAGAAGTATACAGACTTCCACCAACTGCCATTCTTCAATCAACCCTAAGGCTTTAACAGTTGAGATTCATTATTTACATATTCCTTCCTCACCTTTCTTCTCATTTCAGATCCCATTTGGCTGTTAGTGCTGTCTCTCAAGGTATACATACCCAAAATCTGCATCAAACTGGGATAATGGAAAGCACTAATACTATCCACTCTGGCTCAATCAGTGCTCACTGTTAGATGGAAGGTTCTGTAAGACCATTAGAGTTTTACTCATGGTAATACCATACAACATTCTAGTCCAATCTAGACTGTAACCATTTCATGGATTATCATGGAAAAAGCCAGCACCAGAGTTGAGTTGCTAGCTTTTATAAATAGGGGTTTTCAGTCCCCCATTACACTGTTACCAGTAAAAGGTTTTACCAGCAAGTGCCTGACAGAGATCCAGGCACTTTCTTCAGGTATCCCCTTTGAGGATTCTCCTCCCTCCCTCTTTGAGTTGATTATGGGAGATCGTTGCCACTTACCAGCTCCCAGCCAGTGGGGTGGTGGACCATGGAGAATCCTCACTGATTGGGACCTAACAACTGGGGCTAGAACAAGGGGCCCCTCTATGGTGATAAGTGGGACAGGGGTATTTCCAGAGTGCAGAGCAAATCACCCCAATTCTTATTGATACATCACAATCTTCAAGTGGAACTTGGACACATATCACTATACTGATCTCTTATATATGTCTCTATTTATCATATTTCACACTCCTGCAATAGCACAAACATTCAGTATCTGCTGGCAAAGTAGATATTATTAAATATACAATTGTGATGTATTGTTCACACACCCTACTCCCACATCAGACAAAGAACTCTTAGAGTCTGATTCTCAAGTAGTGGTTATATAACTATCCACATTAATTATGTCCAGTATGGTGCCTTTCTCACACAACTGGCATGGGGCCTGTAGTGCCTGATGGTAGAAGAACTGTGCATAGATACTTATTACAAGTGTCCTTTTCCCACAGCTGGATGTGTGCACAATGAAAACAATGAATAAGACCCAACCTCACTACATATATTGACTGTCCAACAGCTTGTGTGTGAGTACTTGGATAGTCATGTACCTATTCCACCCATCTTTGCAACACAATTCATACCTTTCACCTCTTCTATTCCTAAACACGGGCAAAGATTATATCCAAGATGATATGCAGTCTCCCATGGATGGGCCCGTATGGAGCCCCTGCCATTGGGTGTCAGGCCCATGGGCTTCCTTTAGATGCTTTTGAAAGGAAGCTCATCTAGGTAATCATTGCACCAGTCCCTCAACCATCTCAACATAGAATTCAAGCTATCTGTGTATGGAGGTGAGTGATTGTATTGGAAGTTAACATTTTTCTTAATTGAAATTGTATTTTATACTCACCTTCAGATATTTTGCTCATGGCTATTGTCAGAAAAACAACACATACACAGACACTTTGGGCTAATGTATTGTAATAGGAGTGGTGGTCAAATCCCGCTGTTTGATCAGACAAGAGTTGTCAGTCTGCTGTTGACTAGCTACTTTCTATCTAGATTACCGGCTAAAAATTGGGAATGGATATATGCATATAGTATAACTTTTCATGAAATTCTAAAACAAACAAATAATACTGGTTTGTGTTATTATAAAAAAAATAATAATAATTTCTCAATTTAATTTTAAATTACATATATAGGAATTTTCTACACCATTTTTCTACAATATTTGACATTTTATGTTTCTCAGGTTTAAAGGCAAAACATTTCTTTAATTATTACTGCTAGAGAAATAGAATTACAATGGGTTTCTCACAGTAATGTATTTATTAGAGTTAACATTAACTTCTGATCAAAGCAAGCTATTTAATTGCAGCAAAACTAAAAATCAACCTGGTAATGAGCATAACTAATTATATATATTTGTCTTACATTCTTTTTCATGAAGATTAAAATGCATTATTTGATCAGTTGGGTAGCCTCACCATTAATTACATTTTTGGCCAAATATTAAATACTACAAGTTACTTGGTTTGTATGTAACTTAAAGTAACATACTTTCATGAGTTTAATAATTTAAAATTTCTGTTCTCTGTATTTTTTTAATGTATAACTGTCATTTCCATGTAAAGATAATTATTTCTGTATTTTCAGTTACTTTCTCTTCAAGTTTGATGCTCCTACCAACACACTGACAAACTTGCATGATTCTTTTTTAAGAGACATTGACATTTTAAGGCCATCAATATCAAAAGTAGAACCCGTTAACTTCCCTGAGGAATGTACCCTTGAAGAAGAGTTACAACCACCTGCTTACAGAAAAAGTGTTGAAGTGTTGTTGAAACAGGATCGTAAGAAAATATTTAAGAAGGGATATAAAAATCTTTCTAACGAATATATTTAAAACAGTAATACTATTGTTATTATTATTATTAGTTTGGCACTTTCCATGGAAATAGCAGTAGGCAGTGAACTTAGCCTTGAATAAAAGTATTTTTGTTTGTGAATATAGGTAATTCTGTAAATTAAAATGTTTGTTGTGTAAACCTATGAGGAAGAACTTTGAAATGTTTTGGATGAACTAGAAACTATTACTTGAACTTTGACCTGTGCAAGTAGATTTTTACAATTCAAAAATGTTCAGAGAGAATTTTAACATCTGTTCTCAAACTTGAATTTGAGGTCAAAACCTAATGAAAATTTGTTTTATGAAATTTAGCAGAATTCAGGATTTTAAGAGTTTGTAAATTCAAGAGTTTTTGGGATTTCAACTAAATATATTGGTACTTCTCTGGAACTCTTGTAACTTTGTTATTGTACTTTTATATCATTTTTGCTTTTGAAGACATGTTTATAGCAGAATTTATAAAGACTGGACAGTTCTATAGTATTTTATTTTTGTTGGTTTTAATTTCATTTTTCATCAAAAAAAGGAAAATTGAAAATGCAAGCAAGAAATTAGTTTTCAAACTTCTTGACAGAAATTCTTGTAACTTGCATGTATGTGGGGTGTTCCCAAAAACTTGGAAAATCAAAGAAATTGAAATTAGTCATGGAAATTAATTTTGAAAGCAAATATATATGTCAAATAAAACAAAATTATCCATATAAGTGAAATTCTAGATTGTTTGTTTTACATTACTATATTACTGGTAAAAAAAATAGTTTGATCACCATTACGATAATCATAAAAGAATTCTAAGTTAAATGTTTTGTACTATTGTACTTATTCAATAACCTGTTCATTCACTCTGAACATGATATACCTTTTTTGCTCTATCTCATTGCATGCATGAAGTAACCTGTTTCTTGTATCTTTCAAATTGTTATTGGTATATATAAAACAAACCACTGTTATGCATACAGGAAATGTCAATTTTGCTGTATTTAAAGACGATTGAATCACCATTGTAGAAAATATTTCAATGTTAAATCATGGTATCTTAGTAAACTATATAGTTAGCTATAAAAGATTATTAGATAGTTTAAAAACATGGCATTTTTCCAACAAATTAGTTAATCAGTCATCAAGTTCTTTTGTCAATAAATATTAATTTTCTGAATAGCAAATGCTTAAGTTATCCTAGTATTTACATGATGGGTACCAATTTTTGCCAGTTTGGAAATTTACTCATTTGACCTTTGCCAACTATTTTTGGGAAACATTGAGTTTGTTGATGCTGATGATATATGAAGGAACTTTATTTCTGGTTTACTGATTAGAGTATTCATAAACACAAGAACATAATGTCATCTTGCAAGTTGAACACCAATTTTGCTTCACATTGCTATAGCTTACTACATGATCACTCAAAATGGGTTTAACAAGTACATCCCCACCGATGGAATAGCAGTAAGCCTACTGACTTTCAATACTAAAATCTAGGGTTTGATTCCCTGTGGCGGACACAGTAGATAGCCCAACGTGGTTTTGCTCTAAAAAAAAACTAGCAAACACAGGCTTAACAAGTCCATTCTGACAAAAGATCGAAGGTACTCAAGCTTTAATTTGAAGTTTATTTGAAATGTAAACAACAATAGTGTACTGGAGAGATGTTTTTATTTTCTCATATAGAAAGAATGAGATAAAAAGGAAATACAAAAAAAGTGAGACAAAGTTACTAGAATTACATAAATTTGGTAGTTCATGGAAAATAAATGATTAACAAGGTTAAATACAATTCAGTAGGTACTAAATCCAATTTAATGTTGGATTATTGAAATGGAATAGAAGGAGTTGGGACAACTAGGCCTTATTCATCAATAACTGTTTCAATGCAAAAATAAAAAAAGTTCACTAATTTTGTATCATTGTCAAGTAATTGATTTCAGTATGGATGAAAAGGTTTGTTTTTTTTCATTCATTTTTGCATAATCAGTAATCCATATACACTGCTCAAGTAACAACTTGGCATGGGATTGTATTAGACCAACTAAAAAAATATTGTTTTTTGTTCCAAAACATTGGTACATGCAGGAGGCATTTATTTGTAGATTTCAATCTCACCTTTCTATACTTAGCTTAATATTTGGCATAAAATTACTGTGTGTTTATTCAAACCTGCCAACATTTTTATTCTACAAAAGGATGGATTAGATTGTGGATTGAATAGAAAAAAAAATATGATGCACATTTGCCAAAGTGGGGGCAAAAGGGGATGAAAACAAATATTTTTTTTGTATTTAGCTTTAAATGAGTAAAGTTCTCCTTAGGCTTGAATAAAAACTGGCATACACTTGTTCAGTGATCTATCATCAGGTTCATTGTTATCTTAAGCAAATAGATCAGTTACTTAGAACAACATAAAAGTTGTTTCCTAGATCTTATACACAAGTTTTATGTTTTTTATTTGTAATTGTTTTGTAAACTGATTGTTAATGAAGTAGTTTGACAAATTTTTTAACTGTAATACTTTATCAGTAATTAGTACTTCTATAAAAAAAAACTACATTTTAAATATATAAAAGTCAAGGCTGAAAATATATGAAAAGTTACTACTATATAATTTAACTTTCTTTAAATGTGTAATCAGAGGAGTTATGTTTTTTGGTAATACATGTATTTTTTAGTAAAAAGCCACCAGTCATCAGGCTATTTGTTTTCCTTCTTAAATCTTTATAATAGATCTTTTTTCCATGCTAATCTGGTCACCTTTGCACATATACAAACCCTTGTTTGTTGTGACCCATAAGTTACTAAAATATAAAGAAACATTTTGTTCAAGTCAAATAAAATAATCTTTTAATTAACTTTACAATACTTTATTGTTATTATATTTTATATTCCATTTGTATAGTAAGTGCTCCTTCAAGTGAACTCTGCTCGTACTTTAATGTAGCTTGTAATACCATGATAAACTGCTCACAGAGGGCTTGATCATTTTACAATTTCATGTTTCCTATGAAGTTTAGTTCATTTAAAATTACCACCTATCACTAATTTTTCATTTAATCTCAGCAGTGCTATGTTTGTGATGTTTTAAAAATATTCTGAAAAATTAAATTTGCTGTTTCATATGTAAAAATAAAATTGATATTTTTTTGAGAGACAAAATTAATATGTTGTTGGAATATTATGTATATTAAAACTTTAAAAAAATTGAAATTATAAAATTGCTTAATTCAATTCTTTCTATCTAAGGAGAATATTTTAAACCAGCAAAGTAAGAAGAGGTATTGTGTAAATGAACGACATATAAATAATACATGAGATTTAACAAACTATTCATATAGTTTTATGGGCCAGATGTGGCCTAGTGGTTTGTATGCCATGACTGTGAATCAGAAGGCTCAATGTTCGCATCCCGGTGTGGTAAAAATGTCCTCCATACTTTTGTCCATTGGTGTACTATAATAATGATGGTCAAATCCCAATGTTTGGCCAGACAAGAATAGCTCAAGTGTTGGTGGTGGGTGCTATTGACTTGCTGCCTTCCTCTAGTCTATCTGCTCTAAATTAAGGATTACTATAACTAGATAGCCCTTGTGTAGTTTTGTGGAAAAAAACAATAACATTAGGTACTTCATTTTCAGAGTTAATACCTACGTCTAACCAAGAAATATGTGGTTTCACAGTTAACTTTTAGAATTTCGAAAGAAAAACAGCGTTGAATTTTTTTTATGTATTATTATTTGAATATGAGAGAAGAAACCAATAAATATTACATATTGCCCAGAACTAACAAATTTGTACAAGACCAGTCAACATATCTTTATTTTTAAGTTCAAAAGTTTATTAAATAAGATATATTACAATAATACAAGTATACTAGTACTTGATACTGTCAGCCATAATTTCCTTAATGTAATACTGAAAAATTAAGAACTTCACAATCATTAAGATAACTTTTTTAAATCTTTTTTTTTTTTGCTTTCAGAAATAATTATATATTTACTATTCCACATTTGAAAGATAGTCTTTGTATACAAGTTTAGTAAACAAATACTGGTATTGTATCAACATGTTAGACATATTTTATAAATTGGTCCATTTCTCTAAACAAAATATGTTGTGCAAAATACATTCCCGTGGTAAAATGCTTAACGTTAAACAGATTTTATACAAAATAAAATACAACATGCATTGATTAGTCCAAACTTCATAAATAAAATAATAGCACATTTAAACAAATAATAAAAAATTTTCGTTCTTTTTATCACAATGGACAATAGAATTAATACATGAGAGAAAATACATGAAAATAAAAACAGAACATTCAAAACACAAAGAATGTACATTTATCTTAACTAATGTTTAATATATTCATCAAAAAATTTATTTTTTAAATTTTAAACACAAACTTGACAGTACATTTAAGATTAAATTAGTCAGTTCGAAATATTTTTCAAGTAAGACTGTAGAAAATATATGTATCAAAGAGTTAGAACATAAATGAAAACTGCAAATAAACAAAAGCACTTAAGAGAAGGAATAGAAATTTGCACATTCCTTTTTGTGAAAGATGTGTGACACCAAATATGTCATTTTGTATTAACTCATTTCTGCAATTTTTTTATTTTTTTTTATCTACATGTGACGTGTGTTGCCAAAATTAATACCACTGGCATTTGCACCCTTGTTGGACCCATACTGAAGACTTATAATGGAATCACCTGCCTTCAGTTGTTCCTTTGTCCATTCTCTGATGTTAGGATCTGCTTCTTTGGGTCCTAAGGCCTTTTGTCCAAACTTGGAGCCCTGGAAAGATAATTGTACTTAAGAGTTTTTATTAAAGGTTACTAAAATATCAAAAATGAATGAAAGCTTTAAACATATTTTTACACATAGTTTATTCAATACGTTGTGGATCCAGATTAGTGGATTTTATTTTTATTTAGCAGTTTCATATAGAGCCCTAAATGTTTTGATGACTAGAATACTTGTGGTTTTAACTCAATATGAATGGTGTTTTCAGAAAGAAGTATAACTTTTTTAAGTTGAATGAACTTCCTTAGAATATTTGCTTAACTGGCTTTTAATCAAAGCAGGATTTTAACCACCACTCTAGCCCTTAACACTGAAAATTAACTTCCACGATTTATCGTTTTTATACTGCATATTCAGCAGTTCGTGTTTGTTTTGTAACATAAAAAATGTAGATCCAATGCAAAAATATATGGTATGCCTAGTACTAATATGCAACGCTGTGAGTGTGTGTATATATCTATATTCTAAGTCTGTTGCTACTAAAAAATGGGTCATTAAAGGGAGCCCCCTCCTTCAAAATCATAATTTAACAACTTATAAAAATGATAATCTTTGAAAATTGGTAAGTTAAAATAACTTACCTTTCGTGCTAGTGATTCAAGACAAGTTACAACAGCTGCAAGGTTTTGCTGTTCCCATAAATCCACGGTTTGGAAACATTCTTGAGTAGTCACGCCCAGCTTTTGAGCAGCTTCTAGAAAGTAGTTAATGTTCTCCATCTGTTTGAAAGCTAATTGGGAGGTATTTATTTTCTTCTCTGGAATTGTTCCGGGTTGGAGTGAGTTAATAAGCCTACAGAATAAAAATTAATATCTCGATAAGTTTTTAAAAAATCGATTTTAACATATAATAAATAGAGATAACTCATAATTTCTAAGTTAAAGTTAAAAAGCGGTTCAATTTCTAAATAAAAGCCACTACTCGAAATATAAAATTATATAACCATAGTCACTCAAAAATATTGATTTATACCCTTTCAAAAGGTTGTTGATTTTAGAGCAAAGATACACGAGGGCTATCAGTGCCAGGCGTCCCTAATTTCGAAGTGAAAGACTAAACTATCAACAACAACTCTTTGGCTACATTTTTTCAGATGGAATAGTGGAATCTGACCGTCACACTTATAACACAACTAAGGCCTCAAATTGCTGAGAGCGTTTTGTTTTTTTTTCAGAGAGGGCGGTAATGGAACGTGAACCTCCGCTCCACAGCCCGGCACGCTAATCACTAGGAAGCGCTTGACTCTTTCAAAATATTAGTTTAAATTTCCTTATTATGAAAGTTTATTAATCTTTCAAGATAAATCTCATAAACACATAACTCATTTTACTCTCTGTTATACATGTACATTTAAAAATTGCAAGGTAACGTCAATAAGATGAAACTCGTTATGGATTTTAAAAAGTTTATGTTCGGAAGAATGTAACTATGTTATAATTATCAGGATTGTTTGTACATTGTTTGACAGACACATTTCTGAAATTTATTTTAAATAACTGTCTTTCAGAATATGATCCACAATAAACAATAGTTATATTTGGTGGTTACGGAAAATAAACGCATATGTCAACCACAGTTTTTAAAAATGTCCTCAATACTGATTTGAGACAGATACCTGCATAGTACTTGACCGTCTTTTAGCACCTCATGGAATTCTCCACTTTCTCCGCTTGTATTGATGTCCAGTCCAGTAACTTCTTTCACCCATTCCAGCATCGTACCAGCTAACTGTGGGTCGAATTTTTTCTGAATCTGAAAGGAAAAGAGTAAAGATCGATACTCGTGCTACAGAAATATAACCCCTGAAACACTTTGAACATTTTAGATTTACTTTAGATACTTGTGCTACAGAAATATAACCCCTGAAACACTTAGAACATTTTAGATTTACTTTAGATACTCGTGCTACAGAAATTAAATGAAAAGAACATTACAATAAAAAGGTTTTTAAACAAAGAAGCTTGAGGAAAAAGAATAGACCCCCAGTGGCACAGCGGTATATCTGCAGACCTATAACGCTAGAAATACAGGTTTCGATACTCGTGGTGGGCAGTGCACAGAGAGCCAATCTTGTAGCTTTGTGCTTAACTAGAAACAAACAAACGAGAAAGAACACTTCTCTTTAACAGTTAACATCGAAAGGAAAAGAAATGTCACATAAAAATTCAAAGAGAACGATCTAGCTAAGCATCATATAGAAGTTACTTCTGAATGAGATTCCTCTGGAGTTGTGGTTAAAACAACTAGTTTTTAGGGAGACAGAATGGAATAAGTATATTTATCTCTATGACTGTTCTAACTTCGATGAGGTTTTATACAATATGAATTTTGAATGAATGGTATAAATAGTCTTTGTCTTGAACAAATGATTTGAGTGTCCAGTAAAAAATATACCTAAGAATCTTTGCGACATGTTCTTCTATATGCTGGTTTTTAAATTAAAATATTAAATAAACCTTAGTTGATATCTTTGAAAACAAATTGGACTGAAGAAAGTAGTAGAACTGCGTTTTTAAAACATGATATCTTAAAAAAAAGAAACGTTTGAAAAAGTATCCCTGTTTCATTTGTGATTTTATTACATACTTTTTCTTCTTAAATCCAAAATCTTTTTTCATAATTGTTTGAATATTTAACTTCCCCTCATTTCAAGTTTCATAACGTCTTTGTTGCTTGATAATATAAGAAAAGTTATCCCATATAACAAACTCTTGTAATACAAATTTCCTAGGTCCTTGTTTTGCAACTGTTTACGTTGAGTACCTGTTTTAAGATTGTTTTATATCACTAAATTGGGTAACAATGCACCTTTTATGTTTTGTTATCTTTAGAAACTGGTCTGATATTAACATAATAAATATGTTTGTCCATTTGAGTTATGTCTTTCACAAGAAAATACCTAAAATTTATTACCAGCACGGGAGGGTGGGGGAGATTTTTTGCAAGACACTGTATGATTCTTTTTCTTGGCTTGCCTTACTTAAGAATAATTATTAGTTGTTACCAGTTGGTGTGATAGAGAGTAAGGAATTGATAGCATTTTAATACGTCTTATCGATTATCACTATCTAGTTGTCTTCATTAGTGTATATCTTATTTTTAATTATTTAAGTTGTAATTACTTATACATTAAGCTTTCTCGTGACTAGTGTTCAAAAGTTATTCATAAGTGTTGTATTGTTCGAGAAAAGGATAAATATTCTAGAAAATTTCATAAATTACAATAGTTGGACGACACCATTTGTGACTAGGAACTATCATAAGAATATTTGTGCTTTAAGTTATAATTACTTATTCAATAAGCTCCATTATATCTAAAAGTTATTAATAAGTATTGTACTGTTCGAGATAATGTTCTAGAAAATTAGATAAAATACAGTAGTTTGACGACACTACGACAACATTTGTGACTAGGAGTTATCATCAGCATATTTGCCCATACTTCTTTTGATTCAAAGAGGAGGGAGGATAAACTTACACTTTGGAAAAAGACGATAAAATATATCTTGTCTCAGTCAAAACTAAATTCGCCAACAAATCACTACAAGGACAATTTAACCAGTTAATAACACAAGTTCTGACGAGTACATCGTAATGGAAGGGGCCCGGCATGGCCAGGTGGTTAGGGCGCTCAACTCACAATCTGAGGGTCGCGGATTCGAATCCCACCAAACATGCTCGCTCTTTCAGCCGTGGGGGTGTTATAATGCGACGGTCAATCCCACTATTCGTTGGGAAAATAGTAGCCCAAGAGTCGGCGGTGGGTGGTGCTGACTAGCTGCCTTTCCTCTAGCCTTACACTGCTAAATTAGGGACGGCTAGCGCAGATAGCCCTCGTGTAGCTTTTCGCGAAATTCAAAAACAAACAAACGTAATGGAAGAGTATTTTGACGGTTTGTAACAAGAGTCACAACCATCTCATATTCAGGGCACTGTTGGAGTTCATACCAATTGTTTAACTTACACTTTTGATTATTCTTTTTGATAAGAACAATATGAATATCAATGTTTCTTGAACGATAATATTCAGCTGTTAGTATGATTTGCACTCTGAACATTAGAATTTGAAATTAAAAAGAAAGAAAAATAAGCATTGATACATCTTATTCAGTAAACTACGTATATACATGTTATTTTCTAGCAAGTAGTTATCAGTAAATTCGTTGTATATTACAATAAGATGAACTTAGGCTATTCTGTGGAAACATCAACATAAAAATTGATGTAAGACTCGTTTATGGCTTCATTTTTTATCTGTCTCTTGGAAATATTTGAATGCAAATGATTAAAAGTGAACGACAACATATAATGAAATGTATGTCTTTAAACAGATCTATATACGTGTAAGAATGAACGCTCAACATCTTGTTGTTAATATCTGCAAACTTGCCAGCATTAGAATTTAAGTAATGTGACCTGGTTAACTGGTAATCACGTGATTTTGCAAAGTCTCTCATATTTATAGACTTTATAGTTTCTTATTTAAAAAAATGAACAAAATAAGCTAACCACTAGAAAACACATAAACACATAAAGCGTAATGTTACTGAGCAACGTTAATATGCAACGTCAGATAGCATTCATAGTTTTTAAACTAACAACTTGCTAAAACACCGTATAGTGGTCACCTCCACTGATTTATGACTTTATGATTTATAGACTTTATAGTTTCTTATTTTAAAAAAATGAACAAAATGAGCTAACCACTAGAAAACAATATGCCATAAAGCGTAATGTTACTGAGCAACGTTAATATGCAACGTTAGATAGCATTCATAGTTTTTAAACTAACAACTTGCTAAAATACCGTATAGTGGTCACCTCCACTGATTTATGACTTTATAGTTTCTTATTTTAAAAAATGAACAAAATAAGCTAACCACTAGAAAACACATACACACATAAAGCGTAATGTTACTGAACAACGTTAATATGCAACGTCAGATAGCATTCATGGTTTTTAAACTAACAACTTGCTAAAACA